GTTCCATGGTAACTTCCAGCTGCCGTGTTTTTGACTTACCAAAACCATACTCCTTTTTCCCTCAGAGACTAAATTGAAGAATAAATTTATCATGCCTGTCACAGCTGTTTCTCCTGCTGATGAACCAAGTAGAACTCAGCTTAGGACTCCATTTTTAGGACAAGTTTCTAATAATGCTCTCCACTCCACTCCACCCCTCAACCCATTCCTGAGCCTGTAGGACCTGGTGAGCCATTGCTGGCATGTGCCTGACTTAGAGAAGCCTGCCCTCCACCTCTACCTTGTCCCTTGTTGGATGATCCTCAGAAAATAGTACCATTTTGTCCTCAGCCTGTGAAGGGAATGCCACTCATTTCCCCAAGTCTCTTATGTGTCAGTCAGGAGTTGGGGTCAGCCTTCTTTCCTGCCACCTCCACACCATTTCTTGACCTCCCTAAGGAGTACTGACCTCCCTGTGGAGTTCTTGCTGCTCATCTAACTGTCCTTTCTGCCTCCTTACCTTTGTCATCCTTCAAACCCATTTCTACCCCACTGTCATTGGATTCCCATCATTGACTACAGACTTTGACATCTGGCTCCTGGCCTTCACCACGTCCTACCATCATCCTGGGTGAGCTCCATGCTCACAGGCCACAGCCCCCCTCATGGGCCTCTTCATCCAAGAATGACTCGGCGGCTTGTTACCTCTCTACCTCCATAATCACTACGCCAGACCTCTTTTCTGACCACAGTCCTCCCAAGTCACACTTTTACTATAGTCATTAACACATTTTTTTATACCTGACACCCAAGTCATTATAACAGCTATCTTTCTCCTGTTGCCCTCCCAATCTTCATTTCCCATTATTCCTTTGAAGGATGTGGTCCACCATTGCAATCACGTCTTTGTTACAGCCTTAACCTGATACTTCTCTCCCCTCTCATTTTTTCTTCTCTCACTCCTCTGGGAAAAACACAGCCCTGATGAAACAGCTGTGCCCATTAAGTATCTGCACTAACAAGAAGTTCAGCTGAATGCTGCTAGTTCTATCATTGCCAAGGCTGCAGGAAAGCCCACGGCATGAAGGAAGTCCACTCTCAGCCTTTAGACTTGGTAAAGAAACATTTGAAGAATTATTTTATTTCATTTATCATCATCATTATTATTTGTTTAATTTGACCAGAGAGAGGCAGAGAGAGAGAGAAAGGGAAAATAGGAAAGCAAGCCTCCAGGTCTGGGAGTCAAGCTGCAGTCAGCCATGTGGAGTCCAGCGCCTTAACCACCATGCCACCTGCCAGCCCCAAGAAACATTCTCTGAAGAGTCAAAGAATAACACAGATGAGTCTGGGAATAACGGAATGAAGGATTTATGGACAATGAAATAGAAAGTTTGGAGGAAAGAACAGGAATTAGAAATTACAGAGCATTACAGGGCTCAGAGGAGATGAAAATATAATTGATTAGGGTAGAGTCTAATGTATTTTGAGCAGTGATTGTGATTGAAGCAAGACCTGGATGTGTTTAGCTTTACCTAGCCACAATGTTAAGCAGGATAACTAATATTATTATTTGTTTAATTTGACCAGAGAGAGGCAGAGAGAGAGAGAAAGGGAAAATAGGAAAGCAAGCCTCCAGGTCTGGGAGTCAAGCTGCAGTCAGCCATGTGGAGTCCAGCGCCTTAACCACCATGCCACCTGCCAGCCCCAAGAAACATTCTCTGAAGAGTCAAAGAATAACACAGATGAGTCTGGGAATAACGGAATGAAGGATTTATGGACAATGAAATAGAAAGTTTGGAGGAAAGAACAGGAATTAGAAATTACAGAGCATTACAGGGCTCAGAGGAGATGAAAATATAATTGATTAGGGTAGAGTCTAATGTATTTTGAGCAGTGATTGTGATTGAAGCAAGACCTGGATGTGTTTAGCTTTACCTAGCCACAATGTTAAGCAGGATAACTAATATCTGAAAGATGGTTGAAACTCAAATACTTCATGCTTACCTACTGCCTGGATGAGGGAGGGTGGCCAGGGCTAGGGATTCCAATTGGGTTTTCTTTCACTTTGGAGCCAGAGAGCTAAGAAAAGTGTCCAAGTGAGACAGGAGCTAATTTCTCCAGCAATGCCCCTGAGTAAGTAGGAAGAATGTGATCACAAATGAGGATACTGCCTCAGATAAAAGGACAACCCTTTCAACAGACTAAGAGAGGAAGATGAAAGCATTCTTATCAGTCATCTTAGTCTAGGTTATGTCATCACCACAATCCCTAAATTTCAGTGGCTTAAAGTTGTTTTTCCTTGTTTGTGCTACCTGTTCGATTGGCAGGGGAACTATACTCCTCACAGGAACACAGGCTGATGATCAACCTCCATTTCTAATGTTGCTGGCACTAGTGCCAGAAGGAACTGAGAAGCCTGGAATGTGTATCCTTGGAGGTTCTGCTTTGGATGTGACCAGTGTTACTTTCTCTAACTCATTAGCTAGGTAAGTTACATGGTTCCACCTAGCCACAAGTAGGCCAGGAGTACAATCCTACTATGTGCCTAGAGGACAAAGAATAGGCATTTATTTTGTGAATAGCACTAATGACCCCTATAGTATTCACTCCAGAAAAAGGTTAGTTGTAGACATACAGAATGCCAGGGCTGGGACAAGCCAGTTTTAGCCCAAGATCACTGAGAGCCGGGTCTCCTGGCTCCCTGGTAGACTGGCGCTGCTCTGAGGTTTCAGCTTCAGGAAGATGAAGCATTCTTTGGTGTGTCCTCCTACGCCAGGGCCAGACTTAAGGCTTTTTGTCCATCTGAAGTGTTGATAGCTGTTGTCAGTTCTGCCATGATGTCCAGCAGAATTAAATGTTTTCTTTCAAGGTCACCTTAGCTGATTAAACATCCAGATACAGAATACTTTGTAGTACTTTGTCATCTCCCCGAGTGTGACCAGCTGTGGGACCAGTAGATTTTGAATATGCTCCATACTTTCTTTCCATTTCTCATCAGAGCTTCTGTTATGTATCTTGTCTATTTCCTGACCTGCCAGGTTAGGAGTGACCCTTCTGTTCCCACAGATGAGGACATTTGACACACCTGAAACATTGCAATATTGAGCAAAGATAGGTAGGTTCCTATTTTTATGTGGTCTTTGTAGTGTCAGGAACCCAAGAATCCCAACAGGAATTTCTGCATAGCAATCCATCACCGCACATCTCCTGGAGGATGGCCAGGAGAGGGTCAGGGAGCCTAAGGCTCACAAAGGACAAATGGACCTATAATTAAAAAAAATTATGGCAATCCCAGCCAGAGGAAATTCTGTGATTGTACAACCATCTAAGACTGCCTCTCAGAGCAGTGCTAATGTAACATTCTTTGTTTAGAAAGTAAGATTCCATTGCTCCTCCAATTGCTAGCAAACCAGGAGGATAAACTCTAGGAACTTGGACAATTAAGAATTGGTGGGTGTGGGGCCAGCAGGTGGCGTGATGGTTAAGGTGCATGGTTGACCCTGGTTCAAGTCCTGGATCTGGCGGCTTGCTTTCTTTTTCCTGTTTCTCCCTGGTGAGCACAAGTGCTCTATAGTAAATTTTAAAATACCAGTAATGATAAATAAAAATTCTTAGGGGACCAGCAGGTGGCATGATGGTTAAGGCGCTGGACACTTCCCACATGGCCAACCATGGTTAGATTCCCAGACCTAGCGGCTTGCTTTCTCACTTTCTCTCTTTCCGGTCAAGTTAAAATAAATGAATAAATATAATTAAATAATTAAAAAAATAATAATTCTTAAAAAAAAAAAGGAAATGTTATGGCTATATTGTGACCCGAATGATAAGGGAGAAGAACTGGAGAGAATTTAAGACAGTAGCTTCCAAATTCTGGAGTATGAATCACTTGTACAATGAGCAGTATAAAGCCTGTAAAAAATTTGGATATTTAGATAGGGGAAGACTTCTAAGATATATTTTTATGTAAACAAGAAAAATAACATTAATTGGTTATAGAGTGTGCTACCACGTATGTTAAAAAAATGCTGGCCAAGTTTTATATATATGTTCAAACACATGTATTTACAAGGATATACAATAAGTTGATAAATGGTTGTTTCCTGGGAGAGTAACTGGGAAGCTTATAGTTTGTCATTCCTATCACCAACTAAAAAAATCAACTAACACTGCAACGTAGTATCCATCCTGGGACAGAAGCATTAGTGAAAAACTGGTAAAATTGGTTTAAAGTCTGCAGTCTAGTTAGTAGTGTATCAGTGTTAAATTTCTTAGTTTTAGCAATTTTATCAAATGTACTTTTGGTAGCTTCCAACTAGGTTCCCCTGGAAGCAGACTCTAACATAGTTTTTCAGGGATTAACACTTGAGAGAAGGCAGACAGGATTGAAAAGGAAAGCAGAGGAAATAGCTGGGTGTGATATAGTCTTAACAAGTTTCAGCAAACTCCACAGGAAACTCTTGAGGCGGAGATGTCCTTCAATGTTATCCCAAATTGGGACAAGAGGGATGGGATAGACCCTGGACATAAAGTTTACTGGACACTGGATGTGGGCTACCCAAGAAAAGGGGCATGCATGACTTTCACTAAGGGAGCTCTTTTGAGTACTTCCCAGAGTCATCAGCTGAGGGTATCGATCTACAACATTCCTGGCAATTGGCAGAGCACATTTCATTTCTGAAAGGGGATGGTGCATCACCATCTACATGTTGTCTCCCATCTCACTAAAATTTAATTTTATCACTACATTCCCAATACAAGGACTAGAATATTCCAGTTTGAAAGACTCAAATGTACTTTGGCTCTCTGAAGGAAGGGACCTGGACCCTAGCCTTACGCTAGGTTCCTTCCCACATTAAGAATTGGTTATGTTCTTTCCTCATCCAGTTCGCATAATAGCATGCAGGGATAAAGTCTGATTAGAGGATTACTAAGAGTCTCAGAAACTGTAAGACGTGCACCCCCATTGGACAATGAGGACAATCAAGGAGAAAAACTTTGTTCTCTTAATAACATTTTAGATCTTTTGTCTTTTCAAGCAAATGAATACTTTTATTAACACTTTTATTTTAAACATGGTAGGGTTTTGACCTCAAATACTTGTCAGGTCTGCTACTCAAATATACTTATAGCTGGACAACATATGAACCTTGGAATTGCCTCTTCCCTGTCCAGTTTAGGATCTGGACATGCTTTCCTTCCCCAACCCCTCAAAGGCCTTTGCAAATATCTTTCATTTTATGTTCAGAATCCCCTGAAATGCACAAGGGTATTACATCAACTTGTACAGAATACCAAGATCACCTATTCTAGGTTCCATGTCACATAAAGCTGAGTTAGGTTGTCCAAACACTCACCAAACAGGTTACATCAGATAATGTACCATGTAAAATTTAAGTTTTGAACAAAATACATCTCTCCTCCTTTGGTCTCACACAGAAATTAAAGTCCCTAAATACAAACAATACTATCTTCCACCCCGTCTCCTGATTCATCAGTCCAGATCAGTCCCATCAACATTCCCAGTTGAAGTCTGGTCCCTTCTTCAGCAGTTGCTGCATGGAGTTGTCTTCTTGAATTAATGCAGCTCCTTCAACCCGTTCAGAGCTGGAGAACTCCAACTCTGAGTCTCATGTGTCAAACACAGACCCAAAGTTCCAGGGAGCTATCAGGTTACACAAGAAAGAGCAAAGCACCTCAAAATTTAGAAATAACAACCAAAGTCCAGGAACAAATGTGACTGCTGCAATAGCTTACAATCTAGGCTCTAATTCCTGTGAGAGCATTTTTTTTCCCAAATAAAAGTTGCTTTCCCAAACAAAAACACCTAACAATCAAAACTCATATTGAGGTCATCAACCACAGACCATAGCAGAAACGTAGTGTAAGTGAGGACAGAGTGTAGACAGAAGAAAAAAGAGAAAACAAAAGGCTCTCTGGTTTCAGCTTCTCCAGGGTGTCAGCCAATCTCCATCAGTTGACCAGAACTCATTGGCTGTAAACCTAAGGCACAATTGGGAGAAATTCATCATTAAAAGGTTAATCTCAAGGGAAAAACAAACCAAAAGCCCTCACAAATTCAACCAGGCAAGACGCCCCCGCTCGTGGATGCCATCTGACTCATTCCATTCTATTAGGAAAATACGGAATTGTCCAATCGCCTTTCCTCTAGTAATTCTCTACTGCTGGATGGCCTGTGTTGTCTTTGTCTCGTTAGCGACTTCCAGCTACAATCATCCCACTGACTGCAATGTTAGGTTAAAATCAAAACGTGTACTAAAGCCCCAAACACGAGAACCTTCTTTTTTCAAATTACCAACGTGAAAAGCAATTTACATGCCATCCACGAATACATGCCAAGTTAAAACCTGGGCAAGCCTTTATTTTCCCTCCCCCCACCTCCGATCCCGAGTAGATCTTTAGTAAATAATTTCCCTCGAGGATCAACCAAGTTTCCAGCAACTACCAGACTTCGGGCCAGCTCGCGCTGGTTTCCGACCTCACCGCCGATCCTGCTTCAAGACGACTCGCTCTTCTCTATCCGCCGGACCAGCTCGACCAACATCTCTGCCATCTTCGCGATCTCCTTGGCCTTCTCCTCGGCCTTCTCGCACCTTTTCGTCACCCTGCCCTCGCCTCCATCATTTGGGTTCTGAAGATGATTGAGGGCGCTCTCCTCCGAGGCCTCCACCTGCGTCTTGATCTGGATGAGCATATTGTCCATCTCCCACAACTTGCTCCGGTTCCGCATGTACGCCCGCCCGTGCTCGCGGGTCAGAGACGCGATGTCCTCCCGCATCTCGTTGATGACGGGCAGCAGAAACTGCTCGAAATCCTCCTCGGGCTCCAGCACCTCCACCTCCTGCGGTGCCTCCACCTCGTCGACGTCCAGGGGCCTCATTTTGTCCTGCCAGCCAGCCCTGGGCGTGTTTGCGGCCCTTTCACGACACGGCCGGACCCCCTTTACGGTCGTCCTTCTGGGAGGACCGAGGCGCCCCCTTTTTTTTTTTTTTTTTTAAACTTTTCTCCTCAGAGAAGCACGTAAAGAAGCGACTTACGAGCACAGAAGCGCCGAACAAAATGGAGTCGTGGCCGTCAACCAGAACTCTGTGCGTTGCGGCCCCTTTCACGACAGGACCGTGCCTCTTTACGGTCGCGTGGCGAGGCGCGGGCGCGCGCACGTGAGCGAAGGCCGCCGCGGGGGCGAGCCCACCGTGCCCTCGGGGGCGCGCTCCGGAGTATTCTCGCTTTCCCTGCACGTTTGAGCTCTGGTCCTGTTCTTCCCTGGTTTTGGGGGATGTTGCTTCTGGTGTTGGCCACTTTTAGAGGTTTCTAGGGTACGGGATTTTACTTTTTAAAAAGGTTTTCCTGGGACGGCAGGTGGCGTGGTGGTTAAAGACGCTGGACTCCTACGTGGCCGATGGCAGTTTGAGTCCCGAACCTGGCGGCTTGCTTTCTCACTTTCTCTCCCTGTCAAATTAAATAATAATAATAATAATAACAACAATAATAATAATAAAGCTGAATGAAATAATTCTTTAAAAGAAATAAAAGGGTTTTCTACTGAAGAGCATCTCCGTCATCATATAGGCAAAGGCTGTGACATGCCAGGGCTAGTGCTTTTTGCTCTTTCCTCTTAAGTGCAGAAACCTGAGTCTTTCAGCCGTAGGCACATGCGTCTGGCATGAGTTTAAGCCACCGGGTCTGGGACTCGAACCGCAGTCGACTACTACATGGGAGTTCAGCGACGTAGCCATTACGCTAACTGTTGGTCCCTTAATTTACCTTTTTTCTGGTGTTACAGTCTGAGTTTCTTTTCACCCGCTGACTGGCCTGGCCTGCTCATCCCAAGGCTCCAGTAGATGCAAAGCTGTCCTTCAGCTCGCTGCAGCTCTACTTGGTTGAGCGCTAGAGGTTGGCACAAGTAGTAAACTTGCATTAACAGTCACTCCCTGCAGTTTTTTGTTTGTTTGTTTTGTTATAAATGGGGGTGGTGTGGGTGGGGATGGCTAGGTAGCAGTCCCTCTTCCACTTTCCTCTCCGCGATTTTGGGCATGCATGTGCATGTACTTGAATCTGGTGTGATTTTCAACTCACCTGTCGGTGACTCAGACTGCACAGTGGGCCAGTGGGATTCAGCTGCCCTAACCTCCAGGCCACCTGCTGCCCTCAACACAAACCTTTAAGGAAAGATAACTTTCTAGCTTATTGACCCTGTCCCAAAATAGCAGTAAACATTTCAAGAGTCCAGCTTTCCTAAGTGCCATAGAAAACTGGCTTCTGCTTTCTGCCTACTTATAGGGACACTAGTCACAGTTCTGAATATGGCAGTTAGAAGGCTTAAGAGCAGCAAAAGCATATCTTCTGTTCATAAGTTTCTTGGGTTCTTTATATTTTGATTCTTGTAAAAATTCAACTTTGGTGGTTCAGCTGTAGTGGTTGGCACTGCTAAGAGGCTGAGGACACCTGGGAGACCTGGGTTTGTTTCTCAGATCAACCTAAAGGCCAAGCACAGTGACATGGAACTGTAGTCCCAGCTGGGGCACCAGGGCACGAGGATTGCTACTACTAGTTCCTGTCTTTGAAAAAATAAATTAACCAACTTTTGGCGCTCTCTTCATATATTAAAGTAGATCATAATTATTGAATGAAAATAAATGGCTAGGGGCCAGCAGGTTGCTTAATGGTCAAAGCGCTGGATCCCACATGCCTTATTCAGTGGTTCAGGTCCCTGACCCAGTGGCTTGAAAAACACACAAGGCACATGTACATGTTTGCCCCAAATCTCCAGAGGAGAATGAAAGAGAAGGGATTGTGATGTGGGCATCCCACCTGGGAGGGGTGATTTCTCACTTTACCTCTCTATGTGTCTCTCTCTGGTAAGCACACACCCTATGGCAAAAAAGAATCTGGAAAAAAAAAAAAAAGGTTCAAACAACAAGATACCACTACAAACCTAGTAGTCAAGACAGTATCCAGAACACCAACAAATGCTGGCAAGGATGTGAATCAATAGGAAACCGAATTCTTTACTGGTGGAAATGCAAAAGTGTGTACATACTTTGGAAGATAGTTGGTAGAGTCTTAAAAAATGAAAACACCATCTTACAATCCCATGATCAGCCTCCTTGATATTTATCCAAATGAGTAAAAAAGAACAAAACCAAAACCAAAACCAAAAAAACCTGTCTATCCAGCTTTAGTGATAATTACTCAAGAAGCCACCCAGATATCCTTCAGTGGTTGAGCAAATAAATAAACTGCAGTACCTCCAGACAATGGAATATTATTTCGTACTTAAAAAAAAAAAAAAAAAGAGTTACTGGGCTAGCCCCATGGACTAGTGGTTAAGAGAGAGCTAGATCCCACACCATTGACCATGTGGTTTGAATCCCAGTGCCCATGACTAGGAAAACCTCCGGAGAACTTGTGCCTGCATGCCCTGAATCCTCATTAGATGAAGAAATGAAATGCTGCATGATTATGTCCTATGTGGGGGGGGGCGCACTCTCTTTTTCTCTGCCAAGTTCATGCACCTTCTGGCAAATTAAAAAGAGAAACTTAGTTATCAAATCATGAAAACACATGAAGGAAACATAAATGTATTTAATATATTATTAAGTGAAAGAAACCAATCTTTGTGGCTCTTAAGATTCTGAATATATGACATTCTAGAAAATGCCAAACTGTGAAGACAGAAAAAAAAAAATCGGAGCTAGGAGGAAGGAATGAATAAGGGAAACAGAGGATCTTTTTTAGGGCAGTGAAACTATTCACTACTATACAATGATGGCTGATACATGTCACTATACATTCATTCAAGTCCATAGAAAGTATAATACCAAAAATGAACCCTGGGCCAGTGGGTGGGGTAGTGGTAAAGGCACTGGGCTCTCATATGGCTGACCATGGTTCAAGTTTTCAGGGATGCTTGTACATGCATGCCCAAAATCCCTAGAGGAGAATGAAGGAGAAGGGATTACAGTGTGGCTATCCCCCCTAGGGGTGATTTCTCACTTTTCCTCTTACTGTCTCTTTCTGGCAAGCAAATGTGCTCTAAGGCAAAAACCTAAAAAGAATGAACCCTAAAGTAAACTAAGAACTCTGGGTAATTATGGTGTATCAGTGTAGGTTCAATAATTATAGCAAACGTACCACTCTGGTGGGGAGGGTGGTAGGAAGGGAAGGGAATGTAAAGGAATTCTCTATAGTTTCTGGTCGATTTTGCTATGAACCTAAATAAAGTCTGTTAGAAAGGGACAAGAACAAGTTTTACTCATGCCACAGTGTTACCCAAGTCCAACCCAGAACAAAGTCCAATTAGTCCTCTCCTTTTGGATGATGATTCATTTCATTGTATGCATTGTTTCTGGCTCTTTTTTTTTTTCTTTTTAAATTCTGGATTAAATTGGTCCTTAATATAAAAAGGTGCAGGGGAGAGAGAGATGGATGAGTTGAAAAATGGTGTCTGGAAGGAAAAAAGAGAAATGAAGATTTTTCTACTGATAATTCAGCCTCCTGCCCCCAAACTTGAGTGGAGAGGCAAGGGGCAGGCCTTCAGAAGAAGACTCCACCATTGCTCCTGAGAACTAGTGACTTCAGGGGAAAAAGAGAAATGAAGATTTTCTACTGATAATTCAACCTTCAGCCCCCAAACTGGAGTGGTAGGGAGCCCCTCTAGCCTTCTCTGTGTCTCTATCTCTGTCTCTCTGACTCTCTGTCTAATCTTTTTTTTGTAATTTTTTCTTTTTAAAAAATTTTAAGGTAAAGTATTCTCTTGGCTTTCAGTTCCTCCTTTAACTTGCTAATAATTCCCTTTCCTCCTCCCCTCAAGGAGAGGCAAGGAGCAGGCCTTCAGAAAAAGACTCCACCATTGCTCTTGAGAACTAGAGATTTTGTGCAGCGCACTTGCACGCCACATGGTTTTTTAGTTTTTGCCTTTTAGGAAAAAAAATTGTTTTGGTTGTTTTTTCTTTCCTTTTTTCCTTCTTTTTCTCTCTCTTTCTCTCTTTTCCCCCTATCTCTGTGTTGCCTTTTCTTTTTCTTTTATCTCATCACTCTGCTCATCAGTCTCCATTCACTGTGTTTTTAGATGGATCTAAGGGAACCATAGCCAAACGTCCAAATACTATTGGGGTTAACATATTCCTCAATACCCACTGAACCTGCTACACAAAGAGATGAAAACAGTATGGCAAAGAGATTCCAGGTCACCTCCTTCTGCACGCTCCTGAACACTCAGATTGAACTTCAAGAATTAGGAAGAAACACACCATCAGTCAGATGACTAGAAATCACCACAGGGCCACAAGAAATATGGGAAAGCAAGAAAATCCCTCTCCTCCAAGAATAATTCCTCTTCATCCACCGAGAGTTCAATGGAAATCACGGAAATGTCTGATCAAGAATTTAGAATATTCATAATGACAAAGCTAACAGAGATAGAAGAGAAGAGAGACAATGAACTGCAGAAGACGCAGGAGAAAGGAGCTGACAAATTTCAGGAGGTAAGGAAATTATTGCAAGAGCTAAAACAGGAAATACACACTGTAAAAAAGAATCAAATGGTCATGTTAGAGATGAAGGCTATAATACAGGAAGTCAAAATCTCCCTTGAAAGTGTTAATAGCAGACTAGATCATATAGAAAATAAAATCTCAGATGTAGAAGATAAAATAGCTGTCCTAGAAAAATCCATCACAAAGACTGAGAAAATTGCCTCAAAAATGAGAATAATATATGAGAAATACTAGATACCATCAAACGTCCAAACATCCATATAATTGATATCCCAGAAGGTGAAGAGACTCATAAGGGCATTGATAATCTATTCCATGAAATCCTGCAAGAAAACTTTCCAAACCTAGAGAGGCACTCAAATATCCAGTACCAAGAAATACAAAGGACCCCAAATAG